GGAAATGAGTGGTGAAAGGATCTACAGCCTGAGATACGCACACTAATTTTTCATGGTTCCCAACAAAGTTTTGTCTCTCCCATAAAGGAGACTGACTGGGTACGGTTGAGGACCACATCTAAGTCCCAAAAGTGTGTCAGCCAACTCTCTAACTGTTAAGCTAAAAAGAAAAGTAGATATAAACTGGGTGAAAGAAGAAAAAGATTGTCAATGTCAGCAACTAGAGAGATGGAACAAAAGTCTCAAGAGCAACGACGGCAGAGAGGTGAAAATCTGAGCTAGCCATTTGTGTGCAAGGAGCATTTTCATATAAATATTGTAAAAACTGTGCTAAGTACTAGTCACAGATTAAAATGTGAAAAGGGGCCAGGCACAGTGGCTCACGCATGCAATCTCAGCACTTTGGGAGGCCGAAGTGGGCAGATCGCCTTGGTCAGGAGTTCAAGACCAGCCTGGCCAACATGGTGAAACCCCGTCTCTAATAAAAGTACAAAAATTAGTCAGGCGTGGTAGCGGGCACCTGTAATCCCAGCTACTCAGGAGGCTGAGGCAGAAGAATAGCTTGAACCTGGGAGACAGAGGTTGCGGTGAGCCGAGATCGTGCTACTGCCCTCCAGCCTGGGCGACAAGAGCAAGACTCCGTCTCAAAGAAAAGAAAAAAGAAATGTGAAAAGGAATTTCAAGATAACTTATTCATTTACTAACGTTTATAGAACAGCTAACAATGTACCAGAAATTATAATAAATATGAATACAGTTTTTATTGTATTAATGCTATTATATTTGTATAGGCCCTACAGCTTTCAGTAGATTTCAGCATAAATTACATTATACATTTTCCTCAAGAGGGATACTGTAATAGCTTTCTAAATACTAGTATATATTCCAGCCCAGTGCAGTGGCTCAAGCCTGTAATCCCAATACTTTGGGATGCCGAGGTGGGCAGATCACTTGAGGTCAGGAGTTCGAGACCAGTCTGGCCAAAAGGGTGAAACCCTGTCTCTACTAAAAATACAAAAATGGGCCGGGCATAGTGGCTCATGCCTGTAATCCCAGCACTTTGGGAGGCTGAGGCGGGTGGATCACCTGAGGTCAGGAGTTCAATACCAGCCTGGCCAACATGGTAAAACCTTGTCTCTGCTAAGACAAAAATTAGCCAGGAGTGGTGACACACGCCTGTAATCCCAGCTACTCCAGAGACTGAGGCATGAGTATCGCATGAACCCAGGAGGCAGAGGTTGCAGTGAGCAGAGATTGCACCACTACACTTCAGCTGGGGTAACAGAGCAAGACTCTATCTCAAAAAAGAAGTCACTATTATACCACAGGATTTAGTGTGGTCTATGGATTATATTAGCACTGGGCAAGGTTCAATTTAAATCAAGTTCTCAAAACACCCAAAGTAAAATCAACATACCTAATTCTTGCTATACTGACCTAATTTTAAACTGATTTTATAAGAATACCTTTTCTTTCTTCCAATACAGTGATTCATCTTCTGCATTTATGGTAGATATTAGAGAAATCTGAAAGGATCTATGATATATTAGGGTCACCGATTTCTATCAGAAAAGTAGGTAAAATTGTGAGTATTATTTCATTTTGGTAATATAAACAATTTAAAAATGTAAAAATTGTGTTTTATGTAGAGGTATGTTTGAGCAAATCATTAAACCCACCTACTTCCATGAACCATATGAAGTATCACAATAAAAGACACATAACACAATAAGACTTATTTTTTAAAAAGAAGGGCAAAAGAGCAGGATTAGATGGAGAAAAGGCTGAAGGTGTTTAATTAGACCTATACGGTTATTAAAACAGAAGGAATTTATTTTAATACAAATTATCAACACATACAAGAAATGACAATAATAAAACTAATTTCTCTCAAAATAATATTACTTGATAGTTTATCCTTACTGTTCATTCAATTACCTGCATGTCCAAATTGTTGTGCCTTTTCTTCAAAAAAGCAATAAATGAATAATTTGCTGAAGGAAATAGCTCTCTGAAGAAAATATCTTAGACTTACAAAATCTTTTAGTGTCATTCAAAAGTTAAACGCTACTATTCACAATAGCCAAGATATGGAAACAACCTAAGTGTCCATCAAGGGATGAATGGATAAAGAAAACGTGGTATATATACAGGATGGAATACTATACAGCCTTTAAAAGGAAGAAAATTATGTCATCTTCAAAAACCTGGATTAACCTGGAGGACATTATGCTAAGTGAAATAAACAAGACACACACACAAAAAAACAAATACTGCATGATCTCACATATGTGTAAAACCAAAAAAAAAAAAGTCAAACTCAGGGAGGCAGAGAGCAGAACAGTGGTCTACAGAGGCTAGGGAGAGGGGGGGAAATAGGAAAGGAGGCAGGTTAGTCAAAGAATACAAAGTTTCAGTTAGAGGAATAAATTTTAGAGATCTATAGCACAGCACGGTGACTATAATTAATAATAATTTACTATATACCTCAAAATTGCTAAAAGTGAATTTTAAACGTTCTCACCACAAACAAATTGCAAGTAGGTGATACGATGGATATGTTAATTTGCTTGATTTAACCTTTCTACAATATATACATTTATCAAAACATCACATTGAACGTCACAAATATATACAATTATTACTTGTCAATTAAAAATAAATAAAAAACAGACCAAAAAAAAAAAAAAAACCCAAATTCCTCAGGGGCAGCGAGTTCCTCTATGCTAGAGGATTTCAAAAGGACAAAGGAATAAACACACATACAAATATAACGCTCAGATTATAACAAGGAAGAAAGATAAAATAATAAACCAATAAAAAGTTTCTGTGGAAGACAGAAACTTTGAAAACTAAATAGTCTTCATGATTTAAAAGATGGAAACTGTTCAGCTATTTCCCACAAGAAATAGCAAGAAATATATTTATTTAACTTGGTTCCGATCAAAGTTGCAGATCAAATCTCTGGATTTCAACAACGAAAATGAGGCAGTGGGGTTCAATCTCCATTTTAAACTTCACTCAAGATTTACCTTTAAGAACCAAAACGAATCACAGCTACAATGTTTATGTACAGATGTGAATGTGCATATTTTAAAAATTAAAATGTTTATTAGAGTAGTAAGGCTATGAGTATTCCTTTTAAAAACAGTTTCCCACACACTCTGTAATTTTACATTGCTCCTATAATTGAACCTACAAGCCATGTCTCTCCTTGTTTTTCTCTAGCATTTTGACTATTCTAAACTACAGTATTGTGCAGCAGAGAACAGGAGCTCTGAAATCATACTCTCAGGCTTCAGTCTCAGTTCTGACAGTTACTGTTGGGCAAGTTAGTTACATTTTCTGTGCCTCAGTTTCCACGAATGTAAAACGGGATTAGTGAAAGTACCTACTTCGTGGGGTTGGTGTGAAAATTGACATAACTCACAAAAATTACTTGGAAAAGAGCCTGAAAACATAGAATGCATTCAATAAATATTAACACTTATTATAAAATATTATACATTTTAGATCCCTGCTGACAAGTTTGACTACCAAACTAAGTTGGAAGTGCTTAGCAGTGATAGCGGCCAAACCCCACAGGATACTGCTTTGATATAGGACCCACCACAGAGATCAAATCTGACTTCCCGAGCCGTCTGAAAATTATGACCAACATGTTGTGACCAACATGTCACAACAGGAAATGGAAAGCCTAGCACTAACATGACCTGGAAAATAGCCAACTTACTAACACAAACCCATAACCAACAAATCTGTGCCCCTGAAACACATCTATCCAAAAGTAGTTTATTTACATTCTTAATGAGCTATGCATGATTGATAACACATGCTAAAGCACAATTTCCAAGTAAAAATGTAGGTTCTATACATTCATATTGACTTCTTAAAATATTTTGACTCATCATTCAAGCAAAGCAGCGAAGTTTTCGAGGTGCTGAGGGCAGTAAGGGGTGGGAAGGGTATGCAGTCTGTGATGAATTCTGCCAACACTGGCAGTCTGTATTAACCAGAGGCCACATACGCATATTCAAGTTGAGAAAATACCTGTAGGTCACACACATGGTTTTTAAAGCTATATTTTAGAACAAGACACTGAGTAGCAGCAGCACCTTTTAAGATGAAAGTCAACAACATATACACAAGTACTTTAACTCCCATATGTACTCGTGAACTGAACAAATACTATTTTGTAGTGACTCAAAAAGGCACGTAGAATTGACCGATAGTTATCTCCATACCGACCTCATAAAAAAAAATATTCTAAATTAACTCTTTAAAGATGAAAGTAAAAGCAATTCTGGAAAGATTCAACAATTATACCAGTCACAATGATGCTGCAGTAACTGAACTGCATAGCTCAAAAAGTTTACGTTTGTAGAACTGAACTTCTGAATTACGTATCTATGTAAAAGGTATGGTCACTGTTGATTCAATGCCATGAACAGGAATTTCTTTCCAAAGGAAACAGAAATCTGTTTCTAATATGCACAATACGTATGTAATTATCTTCTATGTGCTCCGCAGTTTTAAAATGCCATACAAATAAAGCATACCACATGCAAAGCTCATTTCTGAGATTCTAAGGCAGTTTCTGGTCAAGTTTAAGATCAAACCACAAATATATACACACACAAAATATTTTATATACACATACATCTAAAGATAGAAAAAATGAATATTATTTTTAAATTGGGGAAAATTAAGCGAAAGTTAAACCCACTCCTCTAAGTTTAAAGTTAATCTTCTCCTGGAACCCACTTCCATTCTATTCAGAGGTCCTTCGACGGTTCCTGAAGCAGATGTGTGAAATTTTAAAGAATGTCTGAGGGTATACACCTAATCAGGATGGGTTTGCATCCCAATTCATGATGTACCTTTCAACATTATGTAGGTACATTATAAGAGAAACCAAGATGAGGGCTGTGGCCTCATAGTTGACCCAAAATCTGTGAACAGGAGAGCTGACGAATCTTCGCTTATACAATGCAACTCACCTCGCAGCTCAGAGACATAGCAAAATCGGTGGCTGTTTTTTGCGCTGCCTTTGGATTCTGCATCTGTTTCAAACCTAAAACCTAGCTACCCTGGGAGCTCCACCGAAGAAAACCTGACACAACGAAAACTATCGCGATTTAAAAGATACCTGACGTTTTCTACTGCAGAGGTTACGGAAATTTTGCCAGGTCGGACTTTTATTGTCCTCCTTCAAACACGGGAGCAACATGAAGTTAAATCCTCTCGCTCTGGAGATCCCTAGAGTCAACCTGCTTCTGCCCAAAATTAAAAATAAAAATCTTCAACCTCACTTCCCCTTAAGACTAAAACTGAATCCATGCTCTAACTCGGGAGTAAAGTAGGACGACTTTCAACCCACCACACCCTTCTTGCTCATTATTCCGGGTCGCGGGCGAACTAGAACACTGGGAAAGGGTCTGCAGGTTCCGGACCGGACCGGCCCTGACCCACGGAAGTGGAAGAGAAACGGCAAGAGTCAGGAGCCCGACAGGTACGTCCCCAGCGTCGACGCGTGACGTCACTACGTTGACGTGAACGGCCGTTCAGCGACGGCCGTCCCAACACCTCCTCCTCCGACCACTCTCTGAGCCGCGTCGGCGCCTATTGGGCGGCGTGGGAATGGTGGGCGGCCCGAGGCTGGGTCTCGAG